TGCGCAGCGTGCTTCACAAACGACAGCAGCGCACGCTCTTTCTCCTGTTGGGTGTTGGTGGTCGGGGGGAGGGGAGAGTGGAATGTGAAGCGTGAGCAACGCCACAACGGAAGGGCACACTCACACAGACACAGGGACATGCGCTCACACACACGCGTGCGCGGACATACAGACACAGACAGACAGACAGACAGACAGACAGACAGACAGACAGACAGACACACACACACACACACAACACACACGGAAACCGACGTTGGCGGAGAGCTTCGCGCGCTTGGTTGGCGTTTCCTGGCCCTCGCCCTCATCATTTGCTTCTTCGTCGTCATTTCCATCCTGCGCAAACTCCTCCAACTCCGCCGCCTTGTCCTTTGCCATCTGCACATGCACACAACGGCAGAATGAAGGTGAGCGGATAGTTACAACTTGCATGTGCAAGCTGGCGAGGCCAGCAGCGAGTCCCGTGCAGACACACACACATACACACATACACACACACACGCACACAAACACACACACACACACACACACCTGAACGACTTGCTCAGGGAAGTCTGCGAGCTCTGCAACGTGAATACCAAAGCTGCGATCACACACGCCTGTGCAAACATCACCAAACACAATGTGTGAGCCGCACTGCAAAAGGAACACACACACACACACACACACACACACACACGAGCACGCACGCACGCACACACACATACACACACACGAGCACGGCTGCCGTGCTTGACCTGGCTTGATCTTGTAGAGGAGGGTAAGAGCGCCATTGGAGGTCATGGCGTCGACGTGCAGGTTGGTGACGTTGGGAAGCTCGCTGCTCATGGCTGTCAGCTCATGGAAGTGCGTCGCAAAGAGGCAAAAGCAGTGGATGTGCTTGGCAACGTGTCTGCAGCATGAGAGATGGTGTTGGCGGGCGGGTGGTCGATGCAAACAATGACGGTAAGCAGTGACTTGGATCTTAAAACACATGCCAATGGCACAAACAAACAAAGAGGCTGTGTGCGCGCGCGCGTGTTCGAGTGACACGCACACACACACACACAAAAACAAACAAATTCCACGCATAGTGACGTACTCTGAGATTGCCCACGCGAGGCCAAAGCCGTCGTAGGTGGAGGTGCCGCGACCAAGCTCGTCAATGATCACCAGCGAGTTTGCTGTTGCAGACTGGACGTTCACACAAAGGCACAGGGAGGGTTTGACGACGTGAGGAGAGGAGATGCGAGGCAATCAGCTGCAAATGAACGAACGCACGCGCACAGACACACATGCACACGCACACGCACAGACACAGACACACACACATATGCACACACACACACACACAAACGTTTGCGCCACCTTGAGGATGGATGCCGTTTCCAGCATCTCCGCCATGAATGTGGAGATGCCCTTGAGCTGGCTGTCACCAGCGCCAACGCGCGCAAGCACGCTGTCGCACACGCAAATGCCTGCAAGCATGCAGAGCACAGTTGCGCGGGCGGCATGAGCGCGTGTGCACACGAAGGGGAGAGATTCGAAAAGGCGAGGAACAGCAGCATTATCACAGTTGCAACCACACGAACAGCATTTGTGTTCACGTGCGTGTGTACATGACTTACTCGCTTCCTGCGCGGGAACAAAGCAGCCAATCTGTGCCAGCAGCACCGCAATGCCAATCTAGCACACACAAACGCGCACAGGAAAGTTAAGTTCGCATGGGGAAAGTCAGCAAACAAAAACCGCGCATACACACGCAAGCCAGCAATGGCTCTCTCGCTCTCCCATCAGCCCATCCACCGGCACCCCCCCCCACACACACAGCGCTTGTACCTGTCTGATGTATGTTGACTTTCCGCCCATGTTTGGCCCTGTGATGATCTGCAGTTCCGCTGTTTTCCTGTTCATGCGCACGTCGTTGGCGATGAAGTTGACGTCATCCTGCACTTCAACACATGGGTGGCGGCACCCGCGCAGCACAAGATCACCCTCCCCTGTGCATGTATACACACACACATGTGGATACATGAGTGTGAGGGAGGGACAGAGAGGGTGTGCGTGCGTAGGTGGTTGTTGACGGGAAGTGAGCGTATGCTGAGTGAACAAGTTGTGGTTGTCAACGCTCTTGATCACTGGCGAAAGCAATACACACACATCAGCACGCACACACACACACACATCAGCACGCACACACACACACACATCAGCACACACACACACATCAGCACGCACACGTGCACGCGTGTCGCAGCGTACCCATTGGCGTCATTGTTGGTTTGACGTATGGAATCGGCGCCTCAATGCCGGCGACCGCAAATGACACATACACGTCCTGCAGTCGAGCAAGGGCGTTGGGGGAGAGGGCGTGGGTGCACGTGTGAGAAAATATATATATATATATGTGTGTGTGTGTGTGTATGCGTGAGACGGGTGCGTGGGGATGGATGCGACGGTGCAATGGCGCGAACACACTTCACCCCACAGCACACCACACACACACACACACACACACACACACACACACACACACGCACGCATATGCGATCACACGAATGGTGACCACGACGCCAGTGTACAGCACGCAGTGACGGACCAGGTGCGCTGAGACGCAGTTGAGGTCGTCCATGGGTGTGGCGTATCCGCTCGCAACCTCTGCACGCACGCACGCACGAACGCATGTGTAAACAAACGAGTGTGTGGGTGAGTGACGGGGAGTCTTGGCGTGTGAGCGTATGTGTATGAAGAGATGGCCATGCTGGCACGCACAAACAGGTGTGCACGCACCAACAACTTTTCGCGCAACTTCTTCCTGGATGCGCAGGTATTGCTCGTAGCAGCCGACATACTCTGCACGAGACCACACACGCACACACATGTACAACATTGAGCAGGGAGTGGAGGGCAAAGTGAGACCAAAGCGACGACAGTGCACACGCAGACACGCACGCCTGCGGACAAGCGTGCCAACAGACACGCACACACGCACACACGCACACAGACAAGGACAAGTTGCAATTGGTGTTGATCCGGGTCACATCTCCGGTTCAATAGCTACCTTCGTTGATGGTCTTGAGGCGCTTGTTGACAAACTTGACGCCGTTCTTGAGCGTTTCGAGGATTTCGTACTGGCGGCTGCCGCGGAGTTTCTGCAGTTGCAACAGCGCGATGTGGACACAATGGAGATAGGGCGGATGCGGAGTGGTGGTGGTGATGGTGGATGGGTGATGGTCAGGTGTTACGCAGCGCATTCAGAATGGGGAGCACAGGAATGGCGTGAGAAAGAGCAGCGCAGAGAATAAGAGCAAGAAACAGCAGACGGTATGACACGGTGTCACATCAAGAATGTTTGACGCATGTGCCGCATCTCATCCGCTCTCACACGTCGTTGTACATGAACGCGGGCACCTTCTCGTGTGTCCTGGAGACGCGGAAGTGGAATTGGTTTGTCTTCGAGTCGCGCTCGAGCTTGACGGTTTTCTGGGCGTCCAGCCCCAAGTCCGCTGACGCCTGCAGCAGCCCGCCCAACAATGCCAAACGAATGGACGTGTGGGAGGCAGTTGGAAAAACGTCGAGGGCGAGATGTCGCTGGTGCAGTCTTGCCAGGCAACGCCAGCCAAGACAAGATAAAGATGCATACACCCTCACCGTCACACACACACACACACACACACACACAATCGCACCTTTGAGAGGACGGCTGGCAGTTGGCCTTGCAGCTCATCCATACGATCGCGCGCCTGAACAACAACAACAACAACAACAACAACAACAACAACAACAACAACAACAACAACAACAACAACAACAACAACAACAACAACAACAACAACAACAACAACAACAACACATGTGCACACGGAGGCGTGAGTCAAAGCATTTTGGCAAAAAGACAACCAACGCGGTGGGACACAACAAACCAGTCGTGCTGAGAGCGTGCGTGTGCGTGCTGCTCACCGACTGCATGTCTTCGTTGAAGGATGGCTTGATGAGGTACTGGTGGTTGTCAACCTCGGCCAGGTCAATCGTCTTCTCAATCAGCTCCTTGTACTTGGCAAAATCCTAATTGCCACCACCAACATACACACAGACAATGACCATGTGTGTGAAACAAACGACACGCCGAGCGTCGCCAGGAGCGTTGATTAACACTGAATCGCACACGGGCATGTCCGTGCACACCACTCACACACCAAGAGCGCCAATCCCCAGACATGTATCCACACACACACACACACACACACACACACACACACACACACACACACACACACACACACACACACACACACACACACACACGCACGCACGCACCACGGCGAGGTCTGCGAGGTCGTCGAGAAAGAGGGCCTTGAGCAGCGGCGCGTGCTCCCCGTGGTATTCAGACAGCAGCGCCGTCAGCTTGGGGCTGCACGGATCAGACACCAATGAGTTGTGATGAAGGTGGTGCGGGTGGTAAAAGTGGACGTGACGTCAGGTTGCAGTTCGAGAATCAAGGCACGCAACCATACGCACACACATAAGCCTTTTTCACACACACACACACACACACACACACACACACACACACACACACACACACACACACACACACACACACACACACACACACGCACACGCACATCTTGAGGACGGCGTCGTATGCTTGCACGCAATCCTGCAGTTGCGCCTTCTTGCGCATGAATTTCTTTGACAGCCTGTTGAGGTCTGGAAATCGCCGCAACACATCAATCTGCACAAGTCGCAGAAGTGCGACCATGTTGTTGGCAGTTAGCGTGGGACCAAAGGATACCGCAGCCACAGAAAGCTCGCAGCACACACACACACACACACACACACACACACACACACACACACACATACACATACACACAGATAAGAAACACGCACCAGCCCCGTTCGCATTTCGTCGTCGTGGGTGAGAATGTCGACAACGTTGTGCCGCTCCGCAATCTTGGCCACATCAAGCAGCGGCTGCTTGAGCCACTGCTGCAGCAGCCGCTGGCCCTGTGCGGTCTTGCACCTGTTCAGCAGTCCAAACAGGCTCTGCGACTTCTGGCCGCCATCGCCCATGGTCGGGAACATGCTCAGCGCACGCACCGCCGCGGCGTCAAGGCGCATGTACTGGCCGTGGGAACAGGTGGGAAGGGTGGGGAGGCAAGCGGGTGGCGTGTGGCGTGTGGTTGGAGATAGCGTGAGGAAGCAACCGAGCGTGAAAGAAAGATACACACCAGTTCAGAGAGTTGGGTGAATGGAATGCAGGCAGACTACTACGCACAACAAGCCACATACAAACGCACAACCCCACATACAGTCACACACGCACAACGTACATACACACGCACACACGCACACACACACACACAAGGCCACACACCTGTTTGAAGTTGAATTCGAGGAGGAAGAAGCGGTTGAAGTTTTCGTCGTTGCTGAGCAGCTCCAGGTATTTGATGACGGCATTGACGCAATCCATCGCATGTTTCTTGTCAATCTGTGGAAGCGTGGACACTGTCTGGTCGTCCTCCAACTTCAGCAGGCGCCCAAGGTCTTGTTCAATGTCCCTACGGGAGGGGGGATCATACACACGCACACATGAGTAAGGAGGGATCCACAAAGTGCAACAACAGCAACACAGTCCAGGACAAGCAATGTAGAGAGGGTGTGTGCACGTGCTTGTGTGTGCGTGCTTGTGTGTGTGTGTGTGTGTGTGTGTGTGTGTGTGTGTGTGTGTGTGTGTGTGTGTGTGTGTGTGTGTGTGTGTGTGTGTGCCCACTGACTTGTGCTGAAACTCGGACCGCTTGCGCTGTGTGACCATGACGTTGCAGCGCTCCACAACCTGCGCCACCTGGAAGCAGCGAATGGCATAAGCACAAGAACTGTGAGCAACAGAGCTGTATGGGCACGCAACACACATACACACACACACACGCACACACACACACACACACACACACACACACACACACACACGAGCAGGCAGCACACCTTTGCCAGTGCCGGGTTGGACTTGTCGGAGGTGATGAGGCATTCACGCGCGCCGACTTGCACCACCAACGCCTACCCCATAGTGGCAGCAAGGTGAGGCCAGGGAATCACGGGGGGGGGGGGGCATCAGTCGAGCAGAGGCGTGGGTGCTCACAGCACGTCATTCAGCAACAGAGTTCAGCACGTCACAACAGACATCGCCGCAAAACACACACACACACACACACGCACGCACACACACACACACACACACACAGACACACACGCACGCACACACAGACACCACGCACCTCGAGGTTGGAAAACTGGTCATTGTCCACAAACTCGCACACACGCAGTTCATTTGCCGTCACATCGCAAAAGGCAAGCCCCACAACCTGCAGTTATCACATCAAGATACACGCACACACACGGATGCATGCATGTATGGTCAACGTCAAATGAGCATGATACAAATGCCGTGCATCTCCTTGCACCCCTCGGTTACCCCCCCCCCGCTGTCCAACCCTCCCTCTCGCACTCCACCATCTGCGCCTCTCTCTCTTCAAACATACCCGCTCTTGCCCCTCTGTGGCGAGTTTGACGGCCATGACAATGGAGGAAGAGTTGACGCCGCCAGCGTACAGGATGTCCTCGAACATTTGTGTGTTGCCCGGCGACGCCTGCGAGTGCAAACCAAGCAGGTGCGCACAAGCGGTGACGACTTGGGACTGAACTGGCGGGGCCAGACGCGACAACTAGGGAAGTGATGCATGGTGCCAGAGATGTTGAGTGTTGTGCATGGCGCACCTTCTTGACGAGCTCCCACTTGCCGCTCTTGTTGCCTTTGGTGGAGTAGACCTGCACCCTGTAGTTCTTGATGAGGAGGAGGTCCTTTACCGTGTTCTCAAACACCATGTGGCTCATGTTCACGGACGGCAGCTTCTGTGGGCCCCAGTGCTTGACAACGCCCATTGTCTTGAACACCGTCTTGGCCATGAACAGCGCATCATCCCCATGCAGCGTGTAGTAATCCTGCACAGTGGCCCGCGTGGGTGCGTGCGTTTGAGGTGAAGGAAGGGATGTGTGTGCATGTGCATGTGCGTGTGCGTGTTTCGTGTTTGTGGGATGTGCCCTATTCGTGTGGTGGCGCTGTCGCCGGTGTGTGTGTGTGTGTATGCATGCTCCACGCCTCGGTGTGCCGCCATGCAAAGGCAGGCTGTAGTGGGGGCTCACGTTGCGGTCGAAGAAGCGAATCGTGGTCGCTGGCTTCTCCGGCAGGGACTGGAAGAAGCGGCAGAAGCCTTGCTTCTGCATGTCTGCGCGAGAAAGGGAGAGAGAATGCAAGGTCAACACATGCACAGAGAGTGAGTGAGAGAGAGCGAGAGAGAGAGAGACAGAGACAGAGAGCGCACGCACGTGCGTGCAGACCCAGACACGGACGCAGACACGGACGCAGACACGGACGCAGACACGGACGCAGACACACACACACACACAGACAGACAGACAGACAGACAGACACACACACACACACACACACACACACACACACACACACTCACCGCCATCTGCACTCATATCGTCGTTGTTGGTTGCAGCAGTGGTGGTCCTGTTTTGGCGCGAAGGGGTCGCTACAGTTTATGGTGTTGAGTTGGCGTTTGAAATTTTCAAGCCGCCAACCGACCAACCAACCAGACCAATCGCGACTGCTGCCAAAATGAACGGCGGCGGTCGGCAACAGGAGGATGTGATTGTGCAGCGGCTGGCTACGAACAGTGACCGCGATGCAGCTGTCAAGACATCCTTTCGTCAAAGGTCAGAGTGAACAACAACACATGCAGGGTGGTGCGCGCGTGCGTGTATGCGTTTGTGTTTGTGTTTGTGTTTGTGTCGATTTCTTTGTTGCGACTGTTTTCCCCCTCCCGTCCTGCTTTTCTGCTTGCGCGTGCCCTCCTGCATGCCACCTTCCCTCACTCCCCATCGCCTATTGTGTCACATCACATCACGTCACATCTCACACCACTTCAGCCGGCGAGCGGGTGCACCTGTGGGGAAAGTGCTGGTGCCGCGAATGCGCAATGCCGACCGCGACATTGTGCGCTCGCTGCGCGAGATGCAAGCCGAGCAAAAGGCGCTCGCCCAGTCCCAATATGAAATCCTCAAGTATCTGGACGCCCAAACCCGGCGAAACACCAAGCCCAACAACGCCAACCAACCAAACAAGCCCACAGCCGCTGGCTCCAACGCCCAACAGCGTCAGCACCAACAGCAGCAGCAGCAGCAGCAGCAGCAGCAGCAACACTACCCTCACCAGCGTCAGCACCACCGCCATCACCGCCACCACCACGGCAGCATATGCAGCAACGGCCCCGCTGCTTGCCACTGCCCTGCTGGTGCGACTGCTGCGTCAGCCACACAACAGCTCGTCCCCAATGCCGCCAACGTGTCCAAGAAACTTAACCAAGTCCAAGACGCAGTCGCAAAGCTGCTCCAGGTTTGTTTAACATAAGTACACTTGATTCGCACGCGTTTGCTTTGGATGTCTCTTGCGCTTCCCATTGCAGTGTAGAGCCTACCTTTACTCCTGCGAACAATTTTTTAACACACACACACACACACTTTCACACACACACACACACACACACACTTTCACACACACACACACACACACATTCACACACTTTCACACACACACACACACACACACACACACACACACACACACACACACACACACACACACACACACACACAAAGGACGCAAAGTCGGCGAGGGAAGGCATGCAGGAATATACGGCCAAGAGGGAAAAAGACAAGCTGCTTGCGTGTTTGTACCCGCAGACCTCGACCCCTCTTGACCGATATATGCGTGCACAGCAGCCATCCCACGAGCACACCGCCTCAACGCCGAGCCCAGTTACTGGAGCAGCTACAGCGTCAGCCATGTCCACAGCAGCCGCTACGGCGCCAACCTCAACCCCCTTCACCGGCCGCAGCAAGTTGCGACACACAGCGCCACCCCAAGCAACGACAACGACAACGACAACGACAACAACGCAGGCCAAGCCGGCAGTCGACACCACACAACCCACCCGCGGTGCGCACACGGAGAACGGCAATGAGGCAGACTCCCTGCGGCGAGCGGAGGTCACGCTGCAACGCGTGCTCGCATCGCGACAGGACCTCGAACAGCACCTGGCCACCATGCAGCTGGCAGGCGCAGACTACGCTGTACACGCACGCAACCGCAGCAGCGCAGACGATGGCAGCAGCGGGCACGTTGGTGGAGCCGCCCCATCCATTGCGTCGCGATCTGCACTGGCAAAGGAGGTGGACGTGGCCCTCCGCCGCCTGTATGCGGAGGCGGCACTCAAGGCTGCCGGCATTGACGTGTCCACTCCACCTCACGTGCGGTCAGACTGGTCCTCGTCGCCACCATCATCGTCATCGTCCTCGCCGTCATCGCCACCAGCATCTCCGCCACCACCTCAGCTGCAGCAGCAGGACGACAGCACCCGAACTGGTCACCGTCGTATCGGCGCTGCCAAGCGTGTTGGAGCACACGTGCCAAAACATGCAAGACGTCACATCTCCCCAACGCGAAAACGCGCCGTGATGGGTCGAGGGCACCAGCTTACCCGCGTACCCGCGCACGCGCGCGCGTATGATCAAGCATACGCGGGCGTGAGTCACACGCAAACGCCATCACCCTTTGACGGCGTGTTGCCAGCATATCGCACCACGCGCGCGTCCCGACTGCGCCAGGAGCATGTGGCACAGGCCCACGCTGTCACGACCGCACAACACTACAACACACACGAGTCACACAAGTCACACAAGCACAGGCACAAGCCTAGCCATAAGGGTAGGCCGCACCGACGCTACGACCATGATGGTGGGCATGGCAGCCGCCACCACCAGCAGCTGCAGCAGCAACAACAGCAACAGCAGCATCAGCCGCAGCAGCAACAACAGCAACAGCAGCATCGTCGTCGTCGTCACCACCATCATGAGGAGGAATACCAGAGCAAGGTTCAGCCGTACGAGCCAGTCTACCCCGCCGGTGTCGGCGAAGGAGAAGCACCTGTGGTGGAGGTCATGATGGTGCCGGAGGGCTGGGAGGAGCCAGAACAGCGACCACCGACGACAGCGACAACAACCGCAGCAACGGCAAATGCAACTGCAGCGAGAGAGATGACACGGCCGGTGGAGGACGAACGGAGGGACATGCAACAGCAACCGCAGGATGACGCCGGTGAACAACAGCCACAACCACAACAGCAACAACAGCAACAACAACAACAGCAACAGCAACAGCAGCAGCAGCAGCAGCAGCAGCAGCAAGGAAATGGGAGTGGTTTTGAGGACCTGGGCAAACGCAGGACTCGTGTGCATGCAAGCACAGATGGGTCTCGTACGTCCGTCGTCACACCTGGCAGTCCAAGGCAGACGGCAGTTGGAGAGACTGAAAAAAGAGCACAACACCAACGCAAACAAGAAGGGGAAAGCAGTGGGGCCAAGGCCATGCCGGCAGCAACAGGAGCGAACTCAATAGCACAAGCAATAACACCACCAACCAAACAGCTGCCACCACCCGCAGATGTGCTTCGGCTCCTGCAGCAAACAACACCGCCACAGCAGCTGCACACCAATCGAACCGTGTCAGAAGAACCAGACGAGGCACAGGCACGTGCACCACCAGCACTAAATGCAGACTGGGCACAGACGGCACAGACAGCACCTGGCCCGCGAGCTATCTCGCAACAAGATCAGCGACGACAAGAACAACAACACCATCAGCACCAACAGCAAGTGGCTGATCTTCCAAATGTGATTGAGACCCAGTTGCTGTCTATGGCGCTGTCGCAGCTGTCGGCCCTACAGCCGGAAGACGCGGACTCACATGACGAGCAAGAGCGCGATACTGAAGTAGCCGCAGCAATCACCGGCACCCTGCCTGCTGGGCTGACGGCTCACGACATTGAGACGCAGGTCGACGCGCTGTTGTTTGCATACGCGCACACGGCGCTGGCAGACGTGAGTAGCCGCCGAGCGCCCCGTGACGACAGCGAAACACGCCAGCAGCAGCAGGAACAGGAACAGCCACGCACGCCATCAGACAACGAGCAGCCCACCCTGCCTGCCACCACCGCATCAGCCGCTGCTGTTGTCGATGACGACGAGCTGCTGGTGGCACCACGTGGATCGGGTGGGGGTGCACACCGCGTTCGCACGCCATCGCCGAGCCCCACGCCCAGTGATCTTGCCGGGCAGGCCGGCGGCGCATTCCGCGCACCATCCACATCGCCCTGGCTCGAGCCGACGTCGGCGGTGCCAGCGGTGGCAGCAGCAGCACCCCCGTACCCGTTCTCGGACGATGAAGGGCAGCAGGGCAACAGGCAGCCACAAGCGCAGCAGCAGCAACAGCAACAAGAAAGGTGGCTTGCTGGTAGGATGGATATGTCTCGCACGCTCTCGAACAGCGATGAGGTGTTGGCGCCCCTGTCGCGATCCGAGGGGACGCCCACGCCATCTGGTGACGAGCAGAGCGGCGGTGATGGCGTGTCTGCATTTGCCACGCCACACCGCGGCCATCACACCGGCCACGCTGATGACGGCGGCGCGCTGCTGGTGGGCTCACCAGGAGGCGGTGCTCGAACCCCACAGCAGTCGCCGTCCCAGCCCGCTGTGCAAGGTGCAGCAACATCACCGCCACGCCCCCAGCTGGAGAGCGTTGGTGTGCAGGCGGCGCCACGGCCCTTGCAGTCGCTCCTGTCCCGCTCGCCGCCGCCGTCTGCGCTGGTTGATGCATCACCAACGATGTTGCAGGCGTCACCGGTGTCAACGCCGCTGCGCTCCGAGAGCACGCCGCTTGGCGCATCGATGGACAGGGCTGGCGAGCAGTCGCACCTCGAAGGCGCCGGTGCTTGGACTGGCCAAGGCACTCACCTGCCATTCCAGCAGCAGCAGCAGCAGCAACGTCAGCGCCAGGGTGGCACACCACGGCGAGGGGACGTGGCGTTGCTTAAAACGAACGATGAGTGTGATGTGGAGAGTGAGCCCGTCTCCCAGAGCATGTCATCTGTGTCATCCGGGTGGGTGCCTGGCAGTGCTGGCCTCGACACACTCGCCATGTTCCAGTCGACAGCACCGCGGCTGACGTCTGTGTCGTCCTCCATGGCATCGTCAGGCACAGCCCTGGGTGTGTCGGGCCGCCCGCGCACGTCGCCCCTCAAGCACTCGCCGCGACCGCCAACCTCGGGGCCTCGCCCGTCCAGCTCCCAATCTGTACGGCCCCAGCGCAGGTACACGCCGAGCAAGATACAGCCATTGGGCGCAGCCGACCGCGGCAGTCCGGCACGCGGCACGCGCACTCGCCCCTCGCTGTCCACGCAGGAGTTGCTGGGCATGGGCTTCCACCCTCTGGCAGCGGCTGCACGCCAGCGTGCCGCCAGCAATGTCAGCTTCCAGAGCAACAACAGCAGCAGCAGCAGCACAAGCAGCAGCGTCAGTGTCAGTGTTAGCGTGGGCCAACATGAGCAAAGTGACGGCAGCAGCGGTGCCCTCAACAGCAGCAGTGACGACGACGACGTTGGCGCGATTGCGCTGGGCGGCCGCGGTTATGGTGATGACGTTGACGTCGACGACGAGGAAGAGAGCACGGAGGAAGGGGGCGGACCCGTGTCTGTTGTGTCGTCGGGCGAGATTCCACCAGCCACCATGCAGCAGCTGGCTGGAACGCTACAGCCACAGCGCCTTGGGTCCCGCGCAGTGCCCATTGTGCCGTCGCGCCTGGGGCGTGCTGTGCAGCCGCGTCACTGCCTGCCACAGGCAAGCCCCGTTGCAGACAGCTGCATGCCAGACCAACAGCAACGGGAGGAGGAGCGCGTTGTCTTGCTGGGCCATCACGTCGGCAGCGGCGTGCTCGTGCAGCGGCAGCAGCGACAGCAGCGTGCGATGCGGCGTCCTGCTGGTGGCCGTCATGGCGGAGATGAACACTTGGCTGGCGGTGATGGTAGCGCTGGTGGTGAAAGGGGCCATCTCCATGTTGAAGAGGAGGGCGATGATGATGATGATGATGGGTCTGTGAGCTGTGTTGGGTCCCTGCACTCCGACACGACCGGCAGTGGCTCCTACGATCACTTTGCTCTCTAAACTCACGTCTTTCGATTCCGTTGCTTTCGTTCCAATCTGACTTGTGATGGATGCACTTGTGTGCGCTTGTGTGTGTTCTTGCGCGCATGTGCGTGTGCGTGTGTCATAAACATGTAGGTTGAAGGGCGACAGAGTGGGAAGATGTGGAGGGAGGACGGACCTTGTGTTGCATGAGACTTGGTGTGAGGGGATAGTGGGGTGATTTGATTGCAATGTCATGACATGATATGCATGCACGGACGGCGCACGCGATGCGAAAGCACACCAGCCAGCAGCCTGCCACGCTTCACGTCAACCCGAATTGCGGTTTGCGACACCATGAAACGAAAGCGCGCGTTTTCCTGCCGCTTTTTGTTGTCGTCGTCGTGTGTGTTTGAACAAGCAACAACGATGATGAGCACACCTGCGAGCAGCAGCAGCGGCAGTAGCAGCTTGAGCCAGAGCAAGGACCTCTTGCAGCAGCAGGATGGCCCAGGCGGTGCTGGTCGTGTCGCTGGGGTGGTGGTGGAAGAGTTGATCCCCATGGGTGACGGGACGTTCTTGTTGTCGGCAAAGATCAACGACAAGCCTTGTCATGGCGTGCTCACAGAGGCTGCACCAAACACACAGTGAGTCGCGTGCTGTGCCTTGCGTTTGCGGACATGCCTGCATGAACAAACAGTGTGAAGGATGTGCGTGTGTGCTTGTGTGCAATGGAGTGGAGCTTGCACCTGTAAGTACGTGGAGGTTTTGTGTTCCACACTCACACCTGCCCTTCCTTGCCCACACATTGCAGGTTGCACAGCATTCTTTCTCGAACACCGCAGCAGAGCCACAGCAAGCGATCGCAGCGCGGGAGAAAGAAAAAGAAGCGCAGGGGTGGGCGCGCGCGCCGTTCGGCGAGGAGAAGCTCGTCCACTGACGGGTTCTCCGAGGGCGACATGGGTGCTGCCATGGACGATGACGGCGACGACGACTTTGATGCCATGGACGCACACGTCCCTGGTTCAGGTCGAGGCCGTTCTGCGTCCGCTTTGGCAAGGGGCAGAATCACAGACAGTCGCACACGGGACGGCGTCCTCGAGTATTGCCTGCACCTATCCGGGTACGCCTGCACCTGTCGCTGCTGCATTGCACTCCTGTCGTGGATGCTGTGCACGCGCGTGCGTCAGAGTTGGTGTCACCTTGCATATGTGTCATGATGTACGCTTGATCTTCACCATGCCTGCTCTTCCCTGACCATTGCGTCCTCCCCATCGACACGCGGCTCAAACGCGTTGTTGGACGGCTTTGTTTGTCACATCCCATGGTACAGGCAAAAGCGGCGGTGGCTGCCACCCAACAAGATCCCGGCAGTGGTTCTCAAAAAGTACCAGCAGCGGCAACGGTAAGCAAGCGAGCGAGCGAGCGGACGAGAGGAAGGCGTTAACGAGCGTATGTACAAGCCGTGGTCGAGCAAAGCTGTCGTTCCTCGTGCTGCACGCTCAAATGAGAGAGCTCGCTCGCACGATGGAGCGAACGCAGAACGACAACCTTCATGCATGCGCGCGGTGTGTGTGTGTGTGTGTGTGTGTGTGTGTGTGTGTGTGTGTGTGTGTGTGTGTGTGTGGAGCTCAACTGTTGGTGTTGCCCTCATATTGGGCAAAATCGACACGTCTCGACAGGAATGCACGACGAAAGCGACGAGCAGGGGAGCGAGGGAACGAGGAACACGATGGTGTGCTCACAGATTCCTCTGTCGACATTCCTGCCGGATCCTTATGGCAAACCGCTAGCCAGGTGTGTGTGTGTGTGTGTGTGTGTGTGTGTGTGTGTGTGTGTGTGTGTGTGTGTGTGTGTCTGTGTGTGTCTGTGTGTGTCTGTGCTTGTTTCGTGTGCTTGTGGTTTTCTTTCGTCACTCACAACTCGTGTGTCCCTTCACGCTGCGTTGCTGCATAGAACCCACATCTGCCACCCAGCGCACATGAGCAACCAGAATACATTCCCAAGGAGGTAAGCGCTTGATCCATACTCACCCACGTCCCCTCTGCCTTTGTCCTCGTTTTCATTGTTTCTTGCCCTGCCAAGCAAACCAACCAAGCAACCAACCAGCCCGTGCACACGTGTAGCACTCACACAGTCACGTTGTCACCAACACCAACTCCAACCGTTAATTCCTACCGCCAACTGCTTGCATGGACAGGATGTGGTGGCTGGCGAGTTTGAGCCAGAGCAGATCCTGGAAGACAGGCTAGCGAAACGCGGGTCTTCTAAGTACATCTTTCGGGTCAAATGGAAGGGGTGCGTAGCGTTGCTCGCCTTGTCTGCAGTCATGCTCAGCGTTGTCCACCTCATCTTCACACACACACACACATGCGCACACATGGGTGCACACAAACACATACACATGCACGCATCTACACCCATACACGCGTTCGCACTCACATGTCACTGGCTGTTGTTGCCGTCATCAGATTCCCTGAAGAAGAGAGCACGTGGGAGCCTGAGGAGCATCTGCCCGTGACGCTGGTTGCCAGGTACGAGCGCAGCAAACAGCTCAAGCTGCAGGAATTGCGCAAACAGGTGTACGGCACACATGATGGCCGTCCCAACCAGACCACGTTGCCCCTCGCCGACAAACCACCGTCGCTGCCCGACAACGTGTTCACCAAGGTGCCCAAGCTCACACCGAAGGAGATCAAGGCCCTGCCTCGCAATCGCGCCGAGTACAACCTGCGACGTCGCTCGCAGAACACAGGTGCAGGCACGACAAAGGCGACAGCGCGCGGCAACAGTAGCAGTAACAGCAGCAGCAACAGCAGCAGCGGCGGCGGCAGCAGCGGTCATGCAACGGCTGCAGCACCTTCACCTACACCAGGAGCACGCAAAAACTTCTGGACAGACCTGTTCAACTTCGACAAGGACTCCCTGACCTCAAAGGAGCCTGCCGAACCCAAGATTGAGGAGCCGCTCAAGCCAGTCAAGCCAGTCAAGGCGAAACCAAAACCTGGCTCTGTCTCACGCCACCAGCAGCGCGGTCCAGCATCAAGCTCGACAGCAACAGCAAGCACAGAGGCAGCAAGCAGCACACATGCAGCGAGACACGCCGTTGACAGCGACAAGAAAATGCAGGGCAGCAGGCACAGCAGCAGCGACGCGGCCGAAGCAAACAGCACAGCCACATCAGCAGGACCCGAACAGGAAGAGGCGGTTGCACAGCAGCTGCAGCGGCAATCGCCACTGAGTGGACCGATGATGATGGCGCAAGAGGACGACGACGGCGAGGAGAGCGGGGAAACGCTCATGGACGCGCAACCGTACGCACACGCACGGCAACGAGGACAGACCGGACACCAGCAGCGGTACATGATTGACAGCGGAAGTGAGGACGATGAAGATGTCGGTGATGAAGCAGTATCAGCCCAAAGAGAACATGCTCAATGATCAGTGTGTGTGTGTGTGTGTGCGTGTGTGTGTATGTGTGTGCATGTCTGAAAGTGCCTGTGTGTGTGTGTGCGTGTGTGTGTGCGTGTGTTCTTGAAGTTGATCATTGAAACGAATTGTGTTTCATTGCAATGGAAATTGTGTGAAATGACAGAATATCATGAGCAAAAAAACGAACAGCGACTCTTGGGGCGTCAGCACACCACACATCACAGCGCAGCACAATGGCACATAGGATGGTTTGACACAAGAAACAAAAAGGGAAGGTGAGTGTAGTGTGTTGTATGTGACGAGCGAGCACGTTGGAAAAAATGGCTGAAGCGGCGAAGCGACACTGTCAAAAGAAAGGTGGTGTGAATCGCCACCACTCGCACCATCCACAATCCGTAAGCCACGTCATGTCAAGTCAGACAAGAAACAAAACGAAAGAAACAAAAATGAAATCATGGGTTGCCTGCACGCACGTGTGTGCAACATGCTGCGTGTGACCACAGAGTGCATAGTGACTGCTGCTTGCAACTCAAGTCAGAAACCAAAACACAAAGCAGAGAAAGAGAAAAAGTAACGGAAACAGCCACACAAACTTCAAAGTGACACCCCAAACACACACACACACACACACACACACACACACACACACACAAGTACCCCACTGTCAAGCACGGTTCATACCACACGCACCATCACCGACTCCACCACTTCATCCCCCTCTCTTCAAGAAACACCCACACGCACACACGCTCGCACGTGATCAAGCACGCCCGAGGCAGATGATGAATTCGTTCGGGTCTCAAACGCAAACGGCAGTGATGTTGCTTGGCACATCGTACGTCCAAGCATCGTGCACCAGTGTAGTTGCGCCCGTGTCAGACTGCACAACAACATCGCCAAGTCCAAGACCAAAGGACTCGCCAGCGCGAATGCGGACCATCGTCTCCGTCGCATTCAGGATGGTTGCAGGCACGCCGCCTAGCTCCACGCTCGAAATGGTGGAGCCGCCGCCAAACAGGTTGCGTCCGTAAATGTTCACAAACACGCCACGCTGGCCCTCGCTTGGGGACACAAGCGAAATGGCGCTCGCGTTCAGGTACGTAAACTGCGGGGTGCCACTCACAAGTGCGCCTGTGCTGGAAACAAGTTCAACCCTGCCTGTTTGTGGAGAGGATGGACCGAGGCGGCCAACAACGGCACTCGAATTGGCAGACACAACGGAAGACAGAGGCACGCCAGCGACGAATGCGCGGCGCAGCGACGACGCACCACCAAGCAGGTTGGTTCCCGTGATGGTGACGAGGGTGCCCGCCTGGCCCAGTGAGGGCGACACGTCCGTCACGTTGCCCTCAATCGTGTACTCAAACGCAACCGCACCCGTCACAACAGCGCCGCTCGTCGCCGTCAGCACAACAGCGCCGCTGCCCACAGCACCACGCGCCGCAGACACAACAACAGTGCTGTCGTTCGCGCTCACAATGTCTTCAACCTCAACACCAGCAAGCGTCACACTCGCCAACCCACTCGCAGCACCGAGCAGCCGCTCGCCACGCACCGTCACAAGCGTGCCGCGCTGCCCGCGGGCAGGCTCAACGCTCGCAATGCTCCCGTTCGCAACAAACGTGAAGCTCGCGTCCGCGCGGATCACAGCCATCGTGTCTGCACGCACAATAACGTCGCTCAGCCCAGTGCGCGACGTGCTCTCCGGAATGCGCGCAACCACAACCGTGTCGTTCTCAGACTCAATCGCTGCAAGCACGCCGCCAACCTCAACAGCTGCAACCCGCGCCCCGGCACCACGCAGGCGCTCACCGCTCACCGTCACTCGCGTGCCGGCCTGGCCGCTCGCAGGTGCCACGCTCTGTACTGCACCCTCGGCCACATACGTGAACAGCCCATCAGCACCAACAACCGAGCCGCTGTTGCTCATCACCTCCACGCGCATGCTGCTGCCGGGGCCGCGTGCAGCCTGCACCACAACGCGCGTGTCGTTGCCTGCAAGCACGCGCAGCGCAAGCACGCCGCCAAGCGTCACCTGCGCCACATCGCTGCCGCCTCCAAGCAACCCGGTACCCGTGATGGTCACAACCGTGCCCTCCTGTCCAGACACAGGCGACACACCCGAAATCACACCCGGCATCACATACTCAAACGCGTTCTCCGCAGACACCATGGCTCCCGTGTCCGCCGTCAGCACAACGTGGCCCATGCCAGACGAGCTGCTCGCGTTTGCCCGAAGCACAACAACCGTATTGTTTGCAGACAAAATTGTCGCAGCAATGTCGTTGAGCGTCGCACTCGCAAGCGCGCTTCCGCCGCCAAGCAGCCGCTGCCCACGAACCGTCACGTACGTGCCAAAGTGCCCCTGGCTCGGCGCAACCCCGCTGATCACGCCAGCATCCAGGTACGCCCACACCAGCGCACCAACAACAGGCGCGCCGCTGTCAGACACAAGCGTCACATTCTCGTACGCACCCGGCGCCGTGCCCATGCCGTCACCAGCACGCACAACAACCTGCGTGTTGCTCTGCGACACAATCTGCTGCACGCTCGTGTCGCCCAGGCGCACGTCAGAGAGCCCGCGGCTGCCGCTCAGCAGGCCGCTGCCCGCAATCGTCACATACGTCCCCAGCTGGCCCTCGCCGGGGACCACGCTGCTCACAACACCAGGTGTTGCAAATGTGAATGCCTGAAGCGAACAATTTCGGCACCGCCGCCCAGGCGAATCACAACGCTGCCTCGCACCGCCGCTGCATTAGCCGCCGCATTCACGCCAGCCTCAACAACAACCGTGCTCTCATTCGCAGACACAATGCGTGCAGCAGGTACGCCGACAAGCTCAACCTCGCTCACGCTGTCGCCGCTACCAGCAAGGCGTCGGCCAGTGATGGTCACGATCGAGCCAGCCTGGCCAACAACCGGTGCAACAACGTCAATGTCAGACGGCTCTAGCTGTGTCCAAGCGTTGCTTGCAGTCACAGTCGCGCCATGCTCGTTCACGAGCACAACGTCGCCAAGCATTTCTTCACCAGACCCGGCCGGCGCTTGCACAACAACGCGCGTCTCGTTCGAGCTCAGCACAGTCGCCACATATCCAGCAAGGCGTGCGGTCGCAATGCGCGCACCGCCCTGAAGCAGCGACATGCCGGTCACTGTCACTCTCGTGCCAGCCTGGCCAGCCGCGGGCTGCACTGCATCAATCTGTGCGGGCGCACTGTACGTCCAGCTGCCAGCAAGCGCCACAGTTGATCCCGTGTCAGACGTCAGCACAATCGAGTTGCCACTCATCGTGTTGCCTGCCCCAGCGACCACGCGAACGAAGAAGTTCGTTGCGCTCAGCACCTCAGCTTCCACGCCGCCAAGAGTCACGCTCTCCACTCCAGTGCCATGGCCGAGCAGGTTCTCACCAACAATAAGCACGCTTGTACCACTGTTGCCCGTGCTTGGTGACACGTCGTAAATGCGGCCCTGCGCCCGGTACTCCCACATGTTGGCGCCGACAGCGCGGCCGCCCGTCTCGCTCACAAGCACAACGTCGCCCACAAGCGAGCTCGCAGTCGCAGATGCGTTGGCAACCACAACAGCCTGCGTCGCGTTGAAGCTCACAATCTGCTTCGCCGCAACACCAGCCAGGACCACAGACACAAGATGCTGCCCGCCAGACAGCAGCCCGCTGCCGCGGATCGTCACAACTGTGTCAAGCTGCCCATACGCAGGGCTCACGCTCGCCACAACGCCAGCAACGCCGTATTCAAACGAGTCCGCTGCCTCAACGACCGCCCCGCTGTCGCTCACAATCACCACGCTGCCGTTCTGCGGCACCATCCCAGCCGGCGCGCCAGCCCGAACAACAACCCGCGTCGAGTTGGCAGACACCACCTGTTCAGCAACCGCACCAGCAAGCATCACCCGCGCAACGCTCGCCCCGCCGCCAAGCAGCCGCTCCCCAGTCACCGTCACAAACGTGCCGAGCACACCCTGCGACGGAGTCACCCCCGTCACAACGCCGCCCTCAAGCACCTCAAACGCCGCCATCGCGCGCACAACAGCGCCGCTCGCGCCCGTCAGCACAACATCCCCGGCGCCAGCAACGCCGCCATCGCAAACAACAACAACGGCAGTCTCGTTCTCAGACACAATCTCCCGCACGCCTCGCCCAGCAAGCGTCACGCTGGCAACGCCAGAGGAGCCCCCGCGCAGGCGCACGCCCGCAATCGTCACAACCGTGCCCGCCTGCCCGCTCGCCGGATCAACGCGCACAATCGCACCGTCCTCAAGGCCCGTCCACGTCGCGTTCCGCTCAATCACAGCCCCCGTGTCCGCCGTGATCCGCACGCTCCCGAGCCCAAGCGCGCGGCTGCTATTCGCAACAACCCGCACCAGTGTCTCGCTCGCGCTCACAATGCTCAGCGCCGCCGTGCCACCCAGCTCAACAGCCTGTGCCGTGCTGCCGCCGCCCAGCAGCCCCGTGCCGCTGATGTTCACCCGCGTCCCGTACTGCCCGCTCGTCGGGCTCACCGTCGCAATCGCGCCGGCTCCCACAGGCGTAAACAGGCCCGCACCAGACACAAGCGCGCCGCTCGCACCGACAACCGTCACGTTCTCCGCAACGCCCGTCTGCCCGCCACGGCCCATCACAGCAACAACAACAGTGTCGTTCTCCTGCAGCACGCGAAGCGCAACAGCGCCAATCCGCGCCGCAGACACCCCGCTGCTGCCGCCCCGCAGCCCGCTGCCAAACAGCGTCACCACGGTGCCTTCCCGTCCGCTCGACGGCTCAACCCGCGACACGCGGCCCTCGCTCAGGTACGTCACCAGGCTGCCGTTCTGCACAAGCGCCCCAGTGTCGCTCTCAATCACAACGCCCTGGCTCCCGCCACTCGCGCGCCCAAGCTCAACCACAACAGCGCTGTCGCTCGCAGACACAACCCGCCGCACAGCCGAGCCACCCACGGTCACCCGGCTCACGTTCGCGCCCCAGCCAAGCAGCCGCTCGCCGCCCAGCGTCACCACAGTGCCAATCTGGCCCCCAGCAGGCACCGCGCTCGTCACGCGGCCCTCCTCAAGGTACTCAAACGCCCCCGCAGCAACAACGCGCGCCCCGCTCGTCCCAGTCACCTGCACATCAACCATGCTCTGCGCACCCGCGGAGTCAAGCCGCGCAACCACAACCTCGTCGGCCTCAGATACAACGCTCGTTGCCGGTACGCCGCCAACAACAACGCCCGCAACCGCACTGCTGTTGCCGCGCAGGCCCGTGCCCACAATCGTCACATACGTGCCGCGCTGCCCGCTTGCCGGCGTCACGCTCTGGATCACGCCCTCGCGCACATACTGGAACAGCCCAGCGCCTTCCACAGTCGCCCCCGTCTCCGCCGTCACAACAACGCTGCTCACGTTGCTCGGCGCAGACTGGCCCGCAGACACAACCACCATGCCGTTGCTGCTCGACAACACAGCCTCGGCCTCCACGCCAGCAAGCACAACAACCTCCGCTGCGCTGCCGCCGCCAAGCAGCCCGCTGCCCGTAATCGTCACCTCAGTGCCAACCTGGCCCGTCCGCGGCACAACGTCGCTGATGCTCTGCGGCGCAACATACGTAAACCCGTTGGCCTGCCGCACCGTCGCTCCCGTGTCCGCCGTCAGCTCAACAAGCCCGGCACCGGCCGTCGCGCGGCCCTCCGCCACAACGACAACCCGCGTCGCGTTCGCCTCAACAATCTCCCGCACGCCCACACCCGCAAGCGTCACCTGCGCAAGCCCCGTGCCGTACCCGAGCAGCTGGTCGCCCGTGATTGTCACGCGCGTCCCCGCCTGCCCGCTCGACGGCGCCACAGACAAGACGCTCCCCGTCGGCCGGTACGTCCACCCGTCAGACAGCACCACCTGCTGCCCGTTGTCCGTCGTCAGCCGCACGTCTCCCATCTCGTCCCCGGGCACGCTGTTGAACGCCGCCACCGCAACTACCTCCGTGCTGTTCGCACGCACAATCGACGTCGCATCAACCCCGTTGAACTCAACCTTGCTGATGTCCGTGCCGCCAGCCGTCAGCGCAACACCGCCAATCGTCACGCGCGTTCCGCGCTGCCCGTACGACGGCGTCACCGACGTCACCTCGCTGTACGTCCACCCGTTCACCAGCCGCGTCGTCACGCCCGTGTCACTCACAACAACCACGTCGCCGCGGCCGCTGCCCGTAAACGCACGCGCCACAATCTCAGTCTCCGTCGGCGGCACCGTGAACACGCTCGCCGTCACACCAGCCAGCGTCACAGAGGCAACCCCCGTGAACACGCTCGCCGTCACACCAGCCAGCGTCACAGAGGCAACCCCCGTGCCGCCGCCAAGCATGTTCACACCGCGGATCGTCACAAGCGTGTTGCCCTGCCCCGCAGACGGCGTCACGCTCGTGATCGCGCCCTCAGAGATGTACGTAAACGCGTTCACTGCGCGCACCTCAGCGCCCGTGCTCGACACAAGCACAACGTCGCCCGTCATGTTCGCGCCCAGGTCCCCCGCGCGCACCACAACAACGCCGCACCCGCCCGTCGACACCACCTCAGCAGCAATGCCAACCAGCGTCACATTCAGCGTCGCCGTTGCGCTGTCCGCCTCAGGCCCGCACAGGTCCACGCCGACAATCGTCACCCGCGTCCCCGCGCGCCCGCTCGACGGCTGCACCTGCTGCACACGCCCGGGCACAAGGTACGTAAACCCGTTGGGCTCCTCCACCCGGGCCCCCGTGTCCGCCGTGATCACAACGTCGCCCGTCACCTGCGAGCCGGGCCCAGCCGCCGCTGCAACAACAATCTCCGTGTTGCTCTCCGTCAGCACCGTCGCCTCCCGGCCCACCAGCGCCACGCTCGCCGTGCTGTTGCCGCTGCCAAGCAGGTTGCTGCCCCGGAGCGTCACACGCGTCTTGTACTGCCCAGACGAAGGAACAACCGCGCTGATGTTGCCCTGCACCGCGTACTCAAACCCGCCCGCGAGCGTCGTCTGCGCTCCCGTGTCGGCAGTCACAACAACGTCGCCCACACCGGCAGGCCCGCTCGCCGCAACAACCGTCACCTGCGTGTTGCTTGCGCTCTGCACCATCGCCTGCACGCCGTTCAGCGTCACCCGGCTCACGCCGCTGCCGTGCCCCAGCAGCCGCTCGCCGCTGATGGTCACAACCGTGCCAACCTGCCCAAGCGCAGGCTGCACCCCGGTGATGGCGCTCTGCTCCCGGTACTCAAACGCGTTGCTCCCGCGCACCGTCGCACCCGTGTCAGACACAACAACAACGTCCCCCGTCGCCGCCGTGCCAGAGCTCCCAGCAACAACAACAACCTGCGTCGCGCTCGAGCTCACAATCTCAAGCACAGCAACAGACGCCAGCGTCACGTTGGACGCCGTCGTGCCACCGCCAAGCAGCGACGTGCCGCTGATGGTGACCCGCGTCCCCAGCTGTCCAAAGCCAGGCACAACGCCCATCACCGTGCCCTCAGCAAGGTACGTCCAGGCCCCAGCCTCCCGTGTCAGCGCACCAGAGTCCGCCTCCACCGTCACCTCGTCGCTCACAGCTGCAGACGCATTTCGCTGCGCCACCACCGTCACGCTTGTGCTGCTCTCGTCCTCAATCACTGCAGGCACGCCGCCGAGCAGCACGCGCACAACGGCGCTGCCGGTTGCACCGTACAGCCGCGCGCCCGTGATGGTCACGCGTGTGCCAAACTGGCCCGACGCAGGCTCAACCGCAGCCACACTCGACGCCGTCGTGTAGTTGAAGGCGTTTGCAGCAATAGTGGTCGCACCAGAGTCAGATTCAATGGTCACCGCAACCGTTCCTGGAGTATCCGCGTTCGGGCGAACGACAACTTGGGTATTGGTGTAGTTGACAATCTCCAACACAGGGATATTTGCGAGCAGCACGTTGGCGATATGTGACCCAGCTGCAAGCAGGTTGGTACCGTTGATCGTGATGAGGGTGCCCAGTTGCCCGACGTTTGGCGAGATACTTGTGATGTTACCTGGTTCGGCGTATGTGAGCGCACTTGTCAGAGATGTTGCAGCGCCAGTGTCGGCCTGCAGTTGCACCGACACCAGCCCGGGGGCAGCCGCCTGCAGGGCCACCACAACGTGCGTGTCGTTCGAGGACATGACTGTCGCGGGTGCAGTGCCAAACACGGCTGAGGCGATGCTTGCGCCACCACCGAGAAGTCGTTCGCCAAGCACAGTGACAATGGTTCCGGCCTGCCCGATGGACGGCGCAACTTGGTTGATGACGCTGGTCTCCAAGGCGCGATACGCGCCCTCCATCTCGGTGAACGCGCCCGTATTTGCGGTGATGCGTACGGTACCCAGGCCAAAGGTGGTGCTGACATTTGCGGTGACAACAATGTAGGTGTCGTTCTGCGAGTCAATTGACTTGACAGGGACATCGGCGAGGGTGACTTGAGCAACGGAGGCGCCGCCGCCAAGGAGTCGCTGGCCGGTGATGGTGACGCGCGTGCCGTCCTGGCCGCTGTCGGGAAAGACTGAGTCAATGGCGCCACGCTCAAGGAAGCGGAAAGTGGGGGCGCCAGACACGATGGCCCCGGAATCTGCCTCGAGCTGCACGGCCATCGGGGCGCTTGCGCTGGCGTTGTTTGCTTGCACGATGACACGGGTGTCGGTCTGCGAGAGGATGGTGGCCTCCACACCAGCAAGGTAGGCGAGGACGATGCTTGAGCCCCGCCCCCTGAGCTGGGTACCCGTGATGGTGACCATGGTTCCCGCCTGGCCAGAAGCCGGCGAGACCTGGGTGACGTTGCCCTCCTCCAGGTACGCCCAGTTGATGGTGGACTCGACGAGCGCGCCCGTGTCCGCCGTGAGGATGATGTGGCCGGAGGTTGGCTGAGCGGCGCGCGCGGCGCGAACCACGATCATGGTGTTGTTGTTGTTGAAGAGGATCTGCGCCTGCACGCCAGCGAGAGAAGCCGTGGTGATGGAGGAGCCACTGCCAAGCAGCCGCTGGCCCGTGATGGTGACCGTGGTGCCATATTGGCCCTGCCTTGGAGTCACGGCATCCACCTGTCCGGGAATGGCGTAAGAGAACGCGTTCTCCTTGACGGTGAGGGCACCGTCCGTTGCGCGCACCACAACGTTGCCCACGCCCTGGGTGCGAGCAGTGGCGCGAACGACGATTTTCGTCTGCGAGCTGCTGAGCACCTCTGCGTCCTGCCCGGCGATGGAGACTGACGCGGTTGCGTTGTGGCTGCCGGTGAGGCCTTCGCCGCGGATGGTGACGCGCGTGCCGCCCTGTCCGAGGTTTGGCGAGACCGAAGTGATGAAGCTTGGGGCGACAAACGAAAAGGCCGCTTGGTGTGTGATCCGGGCGTGGTAGTTGCCCGTGAGCACAATGTCTTGCGGCCCGGCCAGGGCTGTTGAGTTCTGGCCCGCCTCGATGATGACCACGGAGTCGTTGCTGGAGACGATGGAGCGCGCCGCAACAGTGCCGATGGTGGCAGAGGTGATGCTTGATCCACCGCCGAGGAGGCTTGAGCCGCGCAGGGTGATGTACGTGCCAACCTGCCCCGTTGCCGGGGTGCTGCTGTTGATGACGGCGGGGCTGACGAAGGTCCAGCCATTGAGCCGGCGGACGGTGGCGCCCGTGTTGATGGTGAAGATGATATCACCGGACTGGGCAACGGCAGAGTAGTTTGCCACAAACTCGACGCGGTTGTTGGTCTGTAGGGTGATGTTGAGGACCTCCACGCCAGCAATGGTGATGGAGCGGATGGAGTCTCCACCGGCAAGGAGGCTGACGCCCTCAACGGCCACGCGGGTGCCCAGCTGGCCGCGGTTTGGTTCGACGGTGAAGATGTCACCAGGGACGATGTTGTAGGTCCAGCCGTTGGTCAGAACGACCTCGGGGCCCGTGTCGATGGTGAGCACGACGTCGCCGCGAGTGCCTGGCAGGTCTGAGGCGCCGGCGTTGACGATGACGCGGTCATCTGAGTAGGAGATGATGTTTGCCGCTACGCCGGCCATGCGCACCTGGATGACTGACTGGCCACCGCTGAGGAGGTTCTCGCCGTGGATGGTGACGCGGGTGTTTGTGATACCGTCTGCGGGCTCGAGGGCGGTGATGTTTCCGAGCGGCACGTACTGCCAGGCGTCATCTGCGATGACCTGTGCGCCCGTGTCGGAGGTGACGACAATGTCGCCGGTGGCGTTGTCGGGCCCGCTGGCGACGACGACGCGGACGAAGAGGTTGTTCTCCTCGAGAATGCGCGCATCCACACCGGCAAGGGTGACGTTGGTGATGCGCGAGCCGTAGCCGCGGAGGTTGTTGCCGAAGATGTACGAGCGGGTACCCACGACACCCGAGTTTGGCGCTGCGGCGGCGATGAAGCCCGGCGTTTCGTAGCGCCACCTGTTCGTGCCCACGACGCGGATGCCGTTTGCGGCGACAAGCACAATGTCGCCCGACACTGCGGTGGCGGAAGGGCGGGCGCGCAACACGGCAAAGGAGTCGTTGTGACGGACAATGTCTGCCGGGACGTCGGCGAGGTAGGCGGCGGTGAGCATGCCAGAGTCGCCGAGGAAGCGGGATCCCGTCAGGGTGATGTAGGTGCCGCCCTGACCGCTGCTGGGGGACACCGTGTTGATGGCGCCCGGCACGAGGTAGGTGAAGGAATTGTTTGCGACGACCATTGCGCCCGTGTTAGATTGCAGGAGGACGTCGCCCGTGGTTGCTGTTGGGGACGCGGCCGCGCGCACGACGACCATGGTGTTGTTGAAGGAGAGGATGTTCTCCACAGCAATGTCTGCGAGGGTGACGCGGGTCATGTTTGTGCCGCCGCCAAGGAGGTTAGTTCCTGTGATTGTGATCCTGGAGCCGCCCTGCCCAGACGGCGGGTCGACGGCTGCGACTGCGCCGGCCTCCAGGTACACCCAAGGGGCGTTCTGCAATGTGCACGTTTGGCCGGAAGCAGTGCCGGCCGTGGTCAGAAGAAGCAGAAGAAGCAGCGTGCACGCTG